CTAGTGTCTATTGACTAGGATTCTCCTGGGTTTTATTTCTTTCAACAACTATTTCAGGTACTTTTTTATCAAGAACTTCAGGTGCACTTGGTGTCAGAACAACTTTTGGTAATAAATCAGAAACTAGTCAAAAATCATCTTTTCCATCTGTATTATACTCCCCATGAAGTTGATTTTTGTGATACTAATGTATTATTTTTTTTGTGATAGGATTAAAACATTTGTAACCATTTTTGTCTGACGCATATCCAAGAAAAATGCATTTTTCAGATTTGGGATCCAATTTTGATCAAAATTTATTCCGAATATGAACCAAACATGTGCATCCAAAGATTTTTTAAAAAATATTTGAAGACATTCGTAGAATTGAAAAATTATTTTTCAACTTGTTTAGAGGAGTTGTATACGTAAAACTCGAGTTGGCATTCGATTTATTAAACATGATGCTGTTAAAACTGTCCCCCTATAAATTTTTAGGAAAGTTCATTGAAAACATAATAGTCCGAACAACCTCAAGTAAATGTCTATTTTTTCTTTCAGTAATTTCATTTTGTTTTGGAGTGTCACGACATGTAGATTCATGAATTATGCTTTTGTTTATTAAAAAAATCGCCTAAACGCTCATTAAAGCATTTAGTTCAATTGTCTGATCTATAGATTCATATTTTTGTTTCAAATTGAGTTTCAATCATATTTTAAAAATCTTTAAAAAGTTTTTCAACTTCTGATTTATTGCTTATAAGATAAACCGAACATATTCTGGAGGTGATCATCAATAAAAGTCACAAACCCCTTTTTCAAGATAACGTTTTGATTTTTGAAGGTCTTCAAACATCACTATGGATCATGAAAAAAGTTTTTGAAGGATAGTATGGTTTTGGAGCAAAATTTATGAGATGACTTTTTACCAAATAACACGTTTCACATATAAAGCACAATTAACCACCTTAAACAAATAAGAAAATATATGTCTTAAATAAGAAAAACTTAGATGGCCTAGTCTAAGATGTCCTTCCATTAATTTTTTCTAATGCAGGGTTAGAACCCATGCTGCTCTAAGCTTGAACCTTTTTATTACTAAGAATAGTGTCCGCAAACTAGTTAAGTCCTCCTATCTCTTTAGCTCTCCCAATCATCATCCCCGACTTTTGATCCTAAAAAACATAAGAAGATTCACAAAAAATTACACGGCAGTTAGAATCTTTTGAATGTTTGCTGACGGATAGACATGTAGTACAAATTTAAGACCCATACTCTTGGATAGGTTAATGTTTCCTTTTCCAACAATAAAGAAGAAACTATTATCAGCAATACGAACATTTTCACGGCCAGAGCATGGGTTATATCAATAAAATAAATGGTGTAAATTTGTCATATGATCAGAAGCTCCAGAATCAATAATCCAATTGTTTAATTTTCTACCTACATGTACCATAGAACAATTTGGAGTACCACTAACCGAATTAGGGTTTAACAGATTCAAGAGTTGATTGATTTGCTCCTTGCTAAATGGGTTGATTTGTTCAGCAGCAGCATTTGCAGTAGGTGACTGGCGCTTGTTCCTTGCTTCCAATCTGTAAACTTACCATGGAGATACCAGCAGTTTTCTCTAGTGTGTTGTGGCCTATTGCAATGATCACACCACACCCGGGGTTTCTCCTCATTTTTCTGTGAATGTGGAACATTTTGCTTGCTAATATGAACCTCAGAATTGAATGTCGAGGTCTCAGGTATGCTGGCAGGAGTGGATTTCTTGTTGCTCTTCGCGGGGGATTTCTGAGAAAGTCTCATGGATTGAAGTCAAGGAACTTCTCCCAATAATGCAAGCCCTACCCTCATCAAAATCCTCATTAAAACCAGCAAAAAATTTAAAATTTCTATTTGCATCAACAATGGTTTTATACCCACTAGCATCATCAGGACACTTTCACTCTTGATCATTAGAAAAGTCTAAGTCTTACCATATTCTCTTTAGAGAACTAAAATATTTTGTGACAGAATCATTATCTTGACGATTATCACCAAGTTTCAAGGAAATTTCATACACCTGAGATTGGTTACCCATATCCAAATACATTTGAGTCGCATTCTCCCAGAGTTCTTTGGCAGTAAAGTAACACATGTAGTTTGCGCCTATCTCCTCTTCCATAAACTTCACCAACCATGTCATTATCATGGAATTCTCTGCATCCCAGGTTGTGTGAGATGGATCTATAGTGGCCGGCTCACGGACTTCCCCTATTAGGTAGCTTATCTTCTCCCTTCCTCTAATGTACATCCTCACCGATTGTGACCAACGTAAAAAATTGTCACCATTGAGACGGAATGTGGTGATCTGAACTGAATGATTTTCGGTGGTTCTAGAGGAAAGTGGTGCGAAAGCAAATGAAAGGGTGGAAGACTGAGTAGAGATAGCGAAATCATTTGTATTTTCAGCCATGATAGAAGAGAAGAAACGTAAAAGACAGAGCACCTAGGGTTTGTATTTTCTCAAGACTGAACAAGAAAAAAGCTAGGATTTTCCAGGAATTTTATTCCCGCTCTGATACCATAAAAAACAGAAACAAAGAGAGGAAAATACTTTCTTCTAAATACTTTCTTCTATATTGATTCTTGACATGGTATATCTACTTATAGGAATACCACCTCCTAAATAAGAAAATTAACTAATTGGTTAGAGTTATTTCCTATTACATTACACAGCTAATTATGCAAGATTTGTACTGCACAATAATCTATAAAAAGAAAAAAATTAATTCTGTAAATCAAATTGGATTTTCAACAATGATTATTCAATAAAAAAAATAAAATAAATGGGATTAATGATAATAAAAATGAGAGAATACATATACGATGAAGGGTAAGGCACAAAATAAAAAAATTATTATGTCAACGATTCTAATGAAAATCAATTAGAAGGTGAGAGTAATAGAGTATTTAAAATAACAAAATAAATGTTGATAAATTGTTATATTCTTTGTTTAAGTGAGGGATAGTATGAGTGAGAGAGAAAATTTAGAGTTGAACTTATTATTATTATTATATTTTGATGCTTTAGTATTTTACTTTAATATTTTAATGTTTGTATAACCCATGTTATTTCATAATTTGATGTTACGACATTGATGTGTTGCTTCTAATTTTACTCAATTAATTACTTTTTACTTACTTAGAATGTTTTTATATTAGTTTTTAACATGTTAGTAAATTAGAATATTAATATATCATTTTTTACTGCACAGCTTATAGTTTAATATTAATTTTAAATGGGATACTTACATAGAGACCACCCAAAACATTGGTATTTTCAAATTAATCACTCATATAATTTGTTTGAACTATTGAACCAATGTATTTATGCGTGTCACGATTAAACTACTGAGAATTTGATAAAAATCAATAATATGGGTTGGCGTTTTACCATGAATTTTGATATTTGAACGAGAATTTGAAGAATGAATGAAAAGGGGAGTTTGATTTGTAAATAGCAAGTTTCGGGTGGTCTGTATGTAGATGCCTCTTTTTAAATTTGAGGCTTATGCATTAAAAGCGCCTTGAGCCTTATGTCTCGCATCGAATGAAAAACGTGTTAATACCCAATTGCGCAAATTTGAACTTTGTACCATATACAATTAATTCATCTTAAACAAGTCAATTTCATTGGCTTCAAAATTGCCATGATACCAAACAAATAAATTTCACTGCTAAAGGCCAAAATTTAGATACCTTTAAAACCAAAAAAGGAAAAAAAATTAATAGATTGATTTTACATGGTAAGTAAGCATGTAAGCGGGAGTGAAAACAATGAAGCAAAAGATGGAAGCATCATCGTGTGCCAGTTGACACACGGTTGACACACGGCAACACACAAAGAGTAAATGCATTGTAGAATGCAAGCATGCATCTCAGAGGTAAGTGCATGAGAGGAGGAAATATGTGAACGTTGTGACCAATGTGTGTCAAGTGGCAAGTAACACAAATGAACTCAAAGGAGCAAGCACATAGGAGGGATATATAGGTCGATGAACAAGCCCAAATGGGAGAACGTAAAAGGAATAACAAATGACAACAAGCAAAAGCAGTGAGAGAAGCAAAGAAGTGCATGTAAATTTTCATGATTATGTGAAAAAAGTATGGTCTGTTGAGATGATGTATGGAAGGAACAACGAATGAGCAACAGTCAAACAAGTGTCAAACATAAGCAAGCAGGCAGTTGAAGCAATCGTGTCAAGAACAACTGATAAGCAAGAAGCTTTGGCTCATATAAAAAACGATAAAGATATGGGCTTGAATTCATCTACGTAAAAAGAAGAGAGACAAGTGAGGATAAGAAAGGCAGATTTGATTTTATAGCATTGATCAATTGCTTCCAAAGATAAAGATCAATGTTAAAAATAGAATTACAAATATAATATCAAGCTTAAGATCAACTTTTTCTAATCAAATCTTTATTATTGAATGCAAACATAAAAGGATGTCATTATTGATATTTTCAATTAAAATAAATCCAAAATTTTAGTATTAAATGAAATAATTGAAATAAATTCTTACGTAACCTAAACATAAATTCCGATGCATCATTACTCCCCAAATCCGAACCCCAAAATCCACAAGGAACTTGAGATACATCCTTTTTCTTCCAATAGCATATAGCACAACGGTGACTATTCAAGTAAATAAATAAACTACCAAATCCAGTAGTCTGAGAAAAAGCTACAAGATTAAAACGAAAAGAAACCATATGGACTCTGTATATATTAAAAAATTGTTTGGTCTCAGATTATCTAGATAAGATTTAACCATAACCATGACACAGAAGTCAAATAATCACAGAAGACAACGAAAATAGACAGCTGATACTGCAGCAGCTTCAATAACAACATAAGTAGAATACAAGATGGTCCATTGATTAAAAAGAAAGAGAAGAAACAAATATTTTAAACTATGGCAAGGGACAGCAACAGTTACAGGTTTCACACTGTTTACTATTGAAATCATACCTGCTGCGATGTGATTGAAATTTGATATTCAAATCTGTGTGAGCGGAATATGAAATTCGCAAGTGGCATGAGGCAACATGCTCAGGGAGTAAATATCTAATAATCAAGAATTTGAATCAGAAGGTTTCTACAAAATTAAACTTGCGGATTCAATAACTGCCGGAAGACAAAAGGAACCTTGGAATACTCCTCCCATCTAATGCATTTCTGGCTGCTGAAGCTGTCTCTGCATCAGTGAACTGGATTAAAGCCTGAAATTACAAAAAGCAAAGTTGTAAGTCACAAGAGTAAATGACAGGCTTCTACTGCCTTCCGAAACAACCATTCATGACTGACCTGAAAACCCGCTGCCTTCTCAAAGGTAGCAATCTTGTGAACAAATCCAAAAGCAGAGAAGACCTAAATTACATTTGAAACAAGAGTAAGGATGACACACAGCAATAAAAAAGAAATAACAAAGATATCAGCTGCACTTAGAATCATGTAATTCTGACTTTGGAAGTGCAGTGTGAAACCTGTAGGAAAGAGCATGATATTCATCAAACTCCAATGGCATCAACAATGTACATCACATACTTAAAAACGATGAATAGGAAGCATGGGCCATAAATATTCACTGCATCTAACAAAGAAAGTTTAAAATCTCCCGCCAGGCCAAGATGAAACGAAGAAAAGCATACAAGCAATCTTCCATCAAAGCCAGAAGAAACCAAACAGCAGGCCAAGTTTTTTAATGTGTTCTATAAATGTGGAAAGAATGAAATTGCTACAAATCAGTGAAACTATAATATAAACTGAAAGGCACAATCCAACAACACAAAATATCACATTTTACATTGAGTGTTGCCACATGATCACAAAGCATGTCAGAGCAGCACAATCATTAAGACTGGAAATAACAATAACTTCAAAGTTAAATAAAATACCCAATGGTGGAACAATCAAAAGAGAGAGATGATAATACAAGCATCATATCACTTCATACATAAAAGCTGAACACATAAATTTCCAATTCATGGATGTGCAGTAGCATGTCACCGATAGAAAAGAGCGTGATTGGTCTATAGATCATATATGGCATGGCAACCAGCATTTTCCTATATTGTCTCCAAGTAGCTAAAACGCTGATTAATTGCACCACGTTTCACTTTAGAGTGTCACACGAACTACAAATACCAAGCACATAAAAATAACTCACCAGATGAATCACATCTATGCTGACATCACCAGCTTCAACGCCCTCAATAGTTACAAGCAAGACATTCCCAGCAACATCACCGGTACTCTTATTGTTTACAATCTCCTGTCTATTTGAATACTGAATATACACAGTTTTACCACGAACCTGTGCAGGTTCAGAAGATGAAGCATAATATGAAACCATTGAGATGGCCTGGTTAAGGTCCGCCTATAATACATAAATTGTGTCAAAAGAAACCATTAGATGGTTTGAATGTGAAAACAGCAACAAATTTCAACAGTAAATCCAGTATGCACATCATAGAGAATATTAAAGATGTTAAAATTTGAACAAGGCTGATTATTATTATAGCTCAAACAACAAACTAAATCAATGAGAAAATAGTTCACTACATGCCCAAATAAATTGGACTGTGAGCATGAGTTCGATAAAAATAAAGCTTAAATAGCCTTTTTAAAAAAAAGAAACTAAGAACGGTCAAAACAAGGAGGAATTAAAATAACAGCAGCACCTGAAACTAGATTAAGGCAAAGCACGACAGAGGCAAGACTGAAGCATTAAAATAACAGCAACACGTGAAATTGGATTAAAGAATAGCACAACAATGGTATTGATTCCTAAAAAATATGAGCATACTGTAATCCATACAAAACTCATGCAAAGACAACCGAGACATTGATATCAAGCAAAACAAATAACTTATACAATATATCTATTGCAACCAAACAGCCTGATAATAGTGGCTACATCAGTTTGAAATTTGACTGAAGCCTCAGCACAAAAGATTGATGCATTTTTTTTAAGATAAATTAGTCTATTAAAATTCAAGGAAAAAATAATTAAGGGAAAGGAACGGGAAAAGTTTCGAGTGATGTTAAAATTAAGAAAAGCAAGCATAACCATCTGTTGGTGCTGCTCATTGCCGTCTAGAAGTGCAGTCCGCAACAGTTACACAAAGTGTGGGTATCCGCCAAATTCGTGTCCCATGTAAAGAGCTGCATCATAAATAAGTCTAAGGAAAAAGGAGGAAGAATTTGAAATGGGTGAAAGAAGTTGGCCCTTCTGTGCATCCACACAAAATTTATATTTAGTAAGTTTGCATTTCACATCTTACAAATGCACAAAACATTTAACAATCGAGAGCCTTCAAAAAATCACTAATCGGATTTTCTTCATCAGCTACACCGTCATTAGCCTCTCCCAGTGATTTGGAGTTACCTTATGAATCATCATTTTCCATTCATCCTTTTGAGTGCCGACTTATGCATTAAACCTACACTTTACAAATCATTTTAAACATTATATCCATTTTACCTCAAGTCTACCTATTTTCTTTCCTAATTCTTCGACACTGCTTTATAGATCCATTTAATGAGTCTATATTCAACTGTTTATACTATATGTTGATTTTCAATTGCCTTGTGTTCAAACGATGCCCCTCTAAACACTCATCTAATATAATCATTCATTAATTAATACATTTTAAATTTGCCATAAATACATCAACGTTCATTTCTATCATGCTAAATTGAGTCATCAATGACTTTATAAATAATAAAATACTTAGCAGTGATTTCATTTTTAAGTTTTATTGGTCACTGGCATGCAAATCATGACCTCACCTAATAACAAGCAGCCACTAGAATCACTCGCCTTTAACCATCCTCTAAAATCCAAGGTACATGGTTATGGAGAGCTAAAGTAAAACCAAAATGTTATGTCATTCACATTCAGCTCTAATGGATGTCCGCCACTACTGATAAAGAAAAGTCATTGAAGACCAAGTCTAACAAGAAGCTAAGTTTATGACTAACCCGAACATAAAATCTTAAATCTCCTACTGGTATAAATTGGCATAAAATTGCAATCCACTTTCTCAATCATTCATCATACCAAAAAACAGAGCAAGTAATTTAATGAGAAAGAAAATGACAAGAATTGTATGATAAATCACCATCAAACTAATATTAGTGTTATCTCTCAATCATGGACCAAATGATGAGGATCATGGAGAATCACAAAAGCCAGATGTCCACCAATGTGCAACACATAATACATACTTAATCTACATATTATATAAATGCATGATTGCCTTCTTTTGAGAGTTGAGAACAACTAACTACTTATAGTAAAAGGGCAAGTCAAAAGTGGATCTGCACACACATGCAATTCTCCAATACAAATCTCCATCGATGGCAAACGAGCAAGTTAGAAGTTACTCTAAACAGCCTACTGATAAGCTAGGCATTGAATCCATTGATAGAAGCTTAGCAACTCCAAAACAATGGTTGCATTGGGCCAAGTACACATCACAGCATACACCATTAACTGAGTTGCATTTTGATGAGGACGCTTGGAGATTAATTAGTATCTTCCTCTAATTAAGAGAAATCATCAAGACATGCAATATGCCCATTTTTCAAAGACTTGCAAATGCTTTGAAGTGTATATTTTAAAAAATTTAAAAATCCTCTTGATGCAAATTTCAGAAGACAAGACATTTCAGCCTCTTTATTGGCTTTAGAATAATTTATACAGAACCAACTTCAACTATGTGAATCATATAAACAATAGATGGCAGCTATTTCTCATCGTTAACAATCATCTTATGTCTTTTCAAACAGATATTATATTTTCCATCGACATAAAATTAAAAAACAACCAAGTATTCATTGGAGTGTTTAAAATAAAAAATGGTTCATTTTCAATATGTTAAAACCACCAAAGTCATAATTTGATTACATATATGACTGTATTATTTAAACAATTATCACAATTCAAACCTTGAGCTTGAGAACAAGTCAATCAATAAGAAAAGATCAAATGCGTACTTTTTGTCAACCATAATGTCATTAAGAAATGTTATTTTGAAATTCATCTGTAAAGTTCTTGATGTAGAGCAGTAGAAGCGCATTGCACAATTAATGCAACCGTTATCCAACTAGATGATATCATCACCATCAAGCAGATTGTCTCCACATAGTTAATAACTTGAGGTTAGTCATGCATATTGCGTTCAAGCATTGTGTCATCCAAATACATTTAATATTTTAGATCATTACTTCCAAATGCCCTTACGTTAACACATGATATTAATCAAGGCTTCATTTGGTACGACTGTCATTTTCTTAACATTTTAAAAAGCAATTATAATTTTTACCGAAAACATGAATACAAAATTTCCATTGAGCTTATGCAGTTTATGACATCATAAGCATATAGACACAACGTATGTAGACATGTTATTCAATATTAGACTATTCTAATTACTTTTCTAAAAAGCAGATCAAAAAAACAATATCAACACACCTATACCAAATAAAACCAAAATGTCAAACTTCATTGCTATGATTTAGTTCATTTTTTTTCTTTTGAGAGAGCTAGCTATCCACATTTGTAGAGTTAACAAAAAAAAACATCTTCATAAAAATTCAGTTTGTTGAGATGTAATGGTGAGCAAACAAGTGGTTCATCCTCGATATCAAACAAAAGGCAAGGAATATTGGTACAATGACTTAATATACCCAAGACATTTAAGTCATCACGTAATGGAACACTCTCACAAACTTAATCCTCCTCCAGCTTTTCTTGGAGATTTCAAATTAGTTAAATCCCGACACATGCTAAGGTTAAAATATCCTCCGTTATCTTTTCAATGGTGGGAAAAGCCTCAAGGGAACATAGAGACATGCTCAGAATCTCCAACTAATTGAAGCCTCTATCAAAATGTTCTCCTAACAACGCATAACTATTTGAGGTCCTAAATGACTAAAAAGTCATGTTTTACTTCTCCGTGACTATTTGTTTATATTTATGAAACGTATTGTGAACTTATCCAGTTAATACTCAATGCCTCCAGCTACATAAATTAGCAATAGAAGATAAAATAAAAAATATATTGAAAATTTTGCAGGTGCCATCAACAACATTAACACATCAAGAAAGAATTTCCTATGGAAAATTTATTTCTATAGCATAGGATGAAAAAAATTAAAATGACAATTAGTTGCATTAGATTTTGAGAAAATTTGCACGCCTTTAAATTAAGGTATGTGTTTAAACCGATCAAGTTAAAATTCACAACTATCTAGGCCATGGCCCTTAAAGTTTCGTTGGTTGAATCCATCCCGAAACTAATAAGCACTTGAGGCAATCTAATGCCTCATTCTCATGAGAGATTGATAATTAAATATTCATTCAAATCATAACTAAAAAACACTTGAGCAAAGGACATATGAGAGGGATATCAGAAGCACTAAGCTTACGGGTTCAAAACAAGCTCTAACATCACACAATTATGTATTGAGTTGTGGTGTGTCCATAAGGAAAAGTATAATCCTCTAGGTGTAAATCATGAACAAATAAATTGCACATAGTAAAAGTCTTATATCAACAACAAAATATGGAGCAGGAATAGACATTAATGTCCTTACATAATATCATGAAATAAAAAATGTCATACAAACATCAAAGTAAGAAAATAAAAATTAAGATAAGTTCAACACTAGTCTTTTTCCCACAATTCTACATCAACATAAGAATATTAAACCACTAAATTTAGAATTTTTAAATTCACAAATCCCAACCACTCTCATTATTCAACAATCCCTTGGTAGACTCATTACCATAATAAACCGATCGCACTCCTGCCTCGTTCTTAGTTGTATTAATACTTCTAATCTTCTTCCTCATCTTTGATCTCAGTCATCTCCTTCTTCCTTAATTAATAGAAATCAATAAGATTATCAATTGAAGTTTAAAACTATATTGATGGTTACAGCTTCAATAAATGAATTTTTATAGAGAGCTTGTACTAATTTTTGCAAACTTGCGATAGACCTATTGATTTTTCTTGTCTCCATCGAAAAAATTAACATTTATATCTAGCGTAAACCTAACCGTCAAACTATTATCATCATCAACAAACCATTCATCATTGGATAACTAGTTAGTACAAACTAAAATATCTCAGTCATACTCTAAAGCCACTTTTTTTTCAAATATCTACCATTTAAGATCTATTTGGGGTAGCTTTCTCATTGCGTTGATTTTCAAATTGTTATCACATCTCTGTTCAACTACTGTTTCCTCTTTCTAAAAATTTCATAACACAAACTACTTTTATAACCAGGTTTACTAGAGTGTGGTGGTTAAAGAATGTTGATGTATGAATTTTCAAATAAAAAAGTATTTATAATACCCATGAC